GGACAACATATCCATACAATTAGCAAAGTTTCCCTGGTTAATTGGTTATCCAAATTTAGAATCAAAGAATTAAAGAATCAAAGAAAATGAAAGAGAAAGAGAAGTGGAAGAAGAAAAGAGGAGGAGGAGGAGGAGGAGGAGGAGGAGGAGGAGGAGGAGGAGGAGGAGAAGAAGGAAGAGGAGGAGGAGGAGAAGGAGAAGGAGGAGGAGGAGGAGAAGGAGGAGGAGGAGGAGAAGGAGGAGGAGGAGGAGAAGGAGGAGGAGGAGGAGAAGGAGGAGGAGGAGGAGAAAGAGGAGGAGAAGGAGGAGGAGGAGAAAGAGGAGGAGGAGAAAGAGGAGGAGGAGAAAGAGGAGGAGAAAGAGAAGGAGGAGGAGGAGGAGAAAGAGGAGGAGGAGAAAGAGGAGGAGAAAGATATGGAGGAGGAGGAGGAGAAAGAAATGGAGGAGGAGGAGGAGGATAAGGAGGAGGAGGAGGAGGAGATGGAGGAGGAGGAGGAGATGGAGGAGGAGATGGAGGAGGAGGAGGAAGAGATGGAGGAGGAGGAGGAAGAGATGGAGGAGGAGGAGGAAGAGATGGAGGAGGAGGAGGAGGAGGAGGAGGAGGAGGAGGAGGAGGAGATGGAGGAGGAGGAGGAGGAGGAGGAGGAGGAGGAGATGCAGGAGGAGGAGGAGGAGATGCAGGAGGAGGAGGAGGAGATGGAGGAGGAGGAGGAGATGGAGGAGATGGAAGAGGAGGAGGAGGAGGAGGAGATGGAGGAGGAGGAGGAGGAGGAGGAGATGGAGGAGGAGGAGGAGGAGGAGGAGATGGAGGAGGAGGAGGAGGAGGAGGAGATGGAGGAGGAGGAGGAGGAGATGGAGGAGGAGGAGGAGGAGGAGGAGGAGGAGGAGGAGGAGAAAGGAGGAGGAGGAGAAAGAGGAGGAGGAGAAAGGAGGAGGAGGAGAAAGAGGAGGAGGAGAAAGAGGAGGAGGAGAAAGAGGAGGAGGAGAAAGAGGAGGAGGAGAAAGAGGAGGAGGAGAAAGAGGAGGAGGAGAAAGAGGAGGAGGAGAAAGAGGAGGAGGAGGAGGAGGAGGAGAAAGAAATGGAGGAGGAGGAGGAGGAGAAAGAAATGGAGGAGGAGGAGGAGGATAAGGAGGAGATGGAGGAGGCAGAGATGGAGGAGGAGGAGGAAGAGATGGAGGAGGAGGAGGAGGAAGAGATGGAGGAGGAGGAGGAAGAGGAGGAAGAGGAGGAGGAGGAGGAGGAGGAGGAGATGGAGGAGGAGGAGGAGGAGGAGATGGAGGAGGAGATGGAGGAGGAGGAGGAGGAGGAGGAGGAGGAGATGCAGGAGGAGGAGGAGGAGATGGAGGAGGAGGAGGAGGAGATGGAGGAGGAGGAGGAGGAGGAGGAGATGGAGGAGGAGGAGGAGGAGGAGGAGGAGGAGATGGAGGAGGAGGAGGAGGAGATGGAGGAGGAGGAGATGGAGGAGGAGGAGATGGAGGAGGAGGAGGAGGAGATGGAGGAGGAGGAGATGGAGGAGGAGGAGGAGGAGATGGAGGAGGAGGAGGAGATGGAGGAGGAGGAGGAGGAGATGGAGGAGGAGGAGGAGGAGATGGAGGAGGAGGAGGAGGAGATGGAGGAGGAGGAGGAGGAGATGGAGGAGGAGGAGGAGGAGATGGAGGAGATGGAGGAGGAGGAGGAGGAGATGGAGGAGGAGGAGGAGGAGATGGAGGAGGAGGAGGAGGAGATGGAGGAGGAGGAGGAGATGGAGGAGGAGGAGGAGGAGATGGAGGAGGAGGAGGAGGAGATGGAGGAGGAGGAGGAGGAGATGGAGGAGGAGGAGGAGGAGGAGGAGATGGAGGAGGAGGAGGAGGAGATGGAGGAGGAGGAGGAGGAGATGGAGGAGGAGGAGGAGGAGATGGAGGAGGAGGAGGAGGAGATGGAGGAAGAGGAGGAGGAGGAGGAGGAGGAGGAGGAGGAGGAGGAGGAGGAGGAGATGGAGGAGGAGGAGGAGGAGATGGAGGAGGAGGAGGAGATTTAGGAGGAGGAGGAGGAGGAGATTTAGGAGGAGGAGGAGGAGATTTAGGAGGAGGAGGAGGAGATGGAGGAGGAGGAGGAGGAGATGGAGGAGGAGGAGGAGGAGATGGAGGAGGAGGAGGAGATGGAGGAAGAAGAGGAGGAGGAAGAGGAAGAGGAGGGGGAGGAGATGGAGGAGGAGGAGGGGGGGGAGATGGAGGAGGAGGAGGAGGAGATGGAGGAGGAGGAGGAGGAGATGGAGGAGGAGGAGGAGATGGAGGAGGAGGAGGAGATGGAGGAGGAGGAGGAGATGGAGGAGGAGGAGGAGATGGAGGAGGAGGAGGAGGAGGAGGAGGAGGAGGAGGAGGAGATTTAGGAGGAGGAGGAGGAGGAGATGGAGGAGGAGGAGGAGATGGAGGAGGAAGAGAAGGAGATGGAGGAGGAGGAGGAGATGGAGGAAGAGGAGAAGAAAGAGGAGGAGGAGGAGGAGGAGGAGGAGGAGATGGAGGAGGAGGAGGAGGAGGAGATGGAGGAGGAGGAGGAGATGGAGGAGGAGGAGATGTAGGAGGAGGAGGAGGAGATGGAGGAGGAGGAGATGTAGGAGGAGGAGGAGGAGATGGAGGAGGAGGAGGAGGAGATGGAGGAGGAGGAGGAGGAGATGGAGGAGGAGGAGGAGATGGAGGAGGAAGAGAAGGAGATGGAGGAGGAGGAGGAGATGGAGGAAGAGGAGGAGGAGGAGGAGGAGGAGGAGGAGGAGGAGGAGGAGAAAAAGAAGCAGAAGAAGAACAGGAGGAGAACAAGAAAAAAGGACAGGAGGAAATGAAATGGAAAAAAAAGGAAAAAGAAACAATGAAAAAAATAATAAAAATGAAGAAAAAGAATAGGAAAAAAATGAACAATCTATTTTGATATTTTCTTTATAATCACAATAAAAAAAAAATGATTAGTTAAAACCCATGATGTCTTTTGTTTCCATCACAAAGAAGAGGTAAATCTATGTAGCAGAGAAATTAAGACAACTAAGCTGCTCAAAAGCATCTTCTGTTTATAGAAATATCTTTTGACATATTCTTTCTGATACCACAACTGGAGCTACATGAATATGTAAGCAATATAACGACAGCTCTAACAAATACAATGACATTATTTTCCTTCTTTCTTTTTTATCCACTTCGACCTTGGGGGATCCTCGGGGAACTGTGAGTTAAAGGGGTGGGGGGGAAGAGGTTGGAGACAATGAAATAGAAACTGAAAGAATGTGCACAAAGGAAAAATCCAGGCCAAACTTCAGCACAAGAGTGAAAGAATGAGAAAAAATGGAAAACCCTAGCCCAAGCTTCGGAATTAAAAAGCCAAAAACGGTCAGAAAATGCAGAGTCAGACTTCCATTCGCACACTGCTGCACAATGAGCCAAGCCAGCGTATCTCCTCAGGATGACCGAGCAAGTGATGCAAATATCCTTTACCCCATACCGGTGGCGGCTGTATTTTCCCAACCTTCCTTTCCTTATAGCACTTGATTTCTATCTTGCCAGAATCTCTGTGGTGGACGTTTGCTGGCTTTTCCTAGAGTGCCAAGGGCTAAAAATGCTATATCGGATCAATTCATCAGTACTAAATCATACACTTTTTATGTGTGGATACAGCAGATATACACTCAAAAATGTATTGTTTAATCTTTACAGTGTGGATGCACTAAGCTAGGGCAAATTGAAGATACTATTCTTGTAGAGGACAAAAAGTTGTAATTGTTTTTACAAGAAATAAGCCACTGACACGAACGGTAATGCCACAAATAAAGGAAAAAGACTGCAGAAAGCACCACTCACAGCCTTAGTCCAACCAGTGATTGTTGGCTCTTCCTCGGCATGCAAATCAAGCTGAAGACAATGTTTGCCCCGTCTACCCTACCCTCAGGCAGTGCTCAAAGGGCACACCCAACCATGCCAATTCAGGTTGCTGAATAAAGTTTGTAATGTTTGTAATGTAATGTCTACAGCGTATGAATCCATACTGTTAAGAATTACCACTGTATTTGCAACATCTATTGCTCTTTTTTGGCAAAATAACTGTCTTTATAATAATCTTTATAAACAGTGGTAATCACTACACAAAAGAACTACCCAGAAACAAGTAATGAGATGTTAATGACTTGATACTGGGTTATTTGGTGAATTCCATCATGTTGTTAGTGCGGCGATGTAGCTTGAGAGTTAGCTAGGGTTGTTTTAGGCTACATCAGGTTGAATTAGTTAAGGCTAGGCTAGGTTGTGTTAGGCTACTTTTCAGGTTGCGTTACATTATACATAATTGTGTTAGGCTTGCTTTTGTTTTGCGGTGTTCGGTTTTAAAGGACCAAAATGTTCCTACAACAGATTTTGATACAACGCACAAAAAATCTGACTTTCTATCGGAAAATGATGATGAACTCTTAAGATATGTCTATTATAAACCTCTCAAAATCTCATTCGCATTAGATTTATTAGTAGATCTCATGGAAAAAGCTACAAAAAAAGGTCTCTACGCGTGCCTTGCCCTTTTTTTCCTAGCTGACCTTCTCTTCCTCCTTTTACCAATAACTTTTACTTTCTTTTTTTTAATAAATATCCCACGCGCGACTCTTGAATCACAACCCTTTCACACACATAAAACCTGATCATGTGTTAAATCCGTAAAAAAAAGAAGACTTATACGTAAAATATTACAAATCTTTCCTCGCATTGAGCAACAACACGTCAAAAACCTTCCCATTTCTCCTTTCCCCCCCCCCCCCCAGACTCACCCGCAAGAAGGCTGACCACCAGTACCATAAACCACTTCATCTTCTCCCTCTTTCTTTCTCTTCCCTCTTCCTCTTCTTCTTCTTCGCTGAAGCCTTCCCGCAAGTCCTCCTGGGCGTTTCACGAGGTCAGTGGCACTCCGGACGGCGCTGCGGCTTCCCCCTCTCACTCTCACAAAGGGACTAATCCTCCCCGGACTCTCCAGCGAGGACGGCCGTCAGCTGATC